TTACTATTGTTATTATTATTATCATTGCTATTATTATTGTTATTATCCTTATTATTATTATTATCATTGTTATTATTATCATTATCATTAGTATTTGTGTTATTAACATTATTATCAATAATAATGATAATTATTATTATCCTTATACCATTACTATTATAATTTAATCATTATTAACAGTAGTATTACTGCTATTATTGTTGTTGATGTTGTTCTTTTACTGCGACTATTATCATCAACATTATTATTATGATGATTATTATTTTTATCATTATGATTAGTATTTTTGTTATCATCATCATCATCATCATCATCATTATTATTATTATTATTATTATTATTATTATTATTATTATTATCATTATTATTATTATTATTATTATTATCATTATTATTATTATTATTATTATTATTATTATCATTATTGTTGTTGTTTTTGTTACTGTTGTTTGTTTGTCATTATCATCATTATTATTACTATTAACTTTATTACTATTACTTTTATTATCTTTATTGCTATTATTACTATTGTTATCATTACTATTATGATTATAATATCAACAATAATGATGATGATTATAATGATAATTTCTATGATAAAGATAATAGCAATAATGATGATGATGATAATTATAATAACTTCTATGAGAATGATATAAAAAAAATGATGATGACGATGATAATGATAAACCTAAACCTAAAATAACCCTAACAATAACGACCACATTAATAAAACTAATTAAGACAGACAGACAGGCAGGCAGACAGCCACGGGCATCACGCGGCCGCCAAGTGTTTGTGACAATCGGGTTGCGGAAAATCCACAGTCATAATCTTGTCGGTTCCATGGGAAATCCTCTTGTCAGCCTCAGATGCGTTTCGCCTCCATCGCGGTTGGGGTTTCCCTTCTCGCTCCCCCCTCCCCCCCTCCCCCCCCCCTCCTCCCAATCTCTCCCTATTCCGTTCTTTCTCTCTGTCTTTCTGTATATCTATTTATTTATCTATTTATATCTATATATCTGTCTGTCTATCTTTTTGTCTATCTTTCTATCTATTTTTCTCTCTCTTTCTTTCTCTCTCTCTCTCTCTTTCTCTCTCTCTCTCTCTCTCTTTCTCTCTCTCTCTCTCTCTCCCTCCTCTCTCTCTCTCTCTCAATCTCTCTCTCTCTCTCTCTCTCTCTCTCTCTCTCTCTCTCTCTCTCTCTCTCTCTCTTTCTCTCCTCTCTCTCTCTCTCTCTCTCTCTCTCTCTCTCTCTCTCTCTCTCTCTCTCTCTCTCTCTCTCTCTCTCTCCTTCGGTAACCCTTTTCCCTCTCGTCTTCTCTCTCCCTTTCCGTCCTTCTACCATAACCCCTTCTCCCTCCATCGCTTTCTCCCTCTATCTTTCTTTCCTCTGATTTTACTTCATCACCCCCCCCCCCCGCTGTTAATTTTTCCTGTTCTCTTATTCCTCCATCCTTACCTCTTTCCCTTCTCCCTCTACCCCTTTCATTTCATCTGTTTGTATTTCCTTTTCTCCTCTTATCTCCCACATTTTTTTTTTAATATTCCATTTCCTCTACCCCTTCTTTTTCCTCTTCCTTCATGCCAACTCCCCCCCTCCCCATCTTTAAATCTACTTCTCTCTCTCTTCCCTCTTCATTTTCTCTCCTTTTCTCTCTCCAGTTCTTTATTTATCACTCTCACTCTTCAGCTTCTCCTCCTTTATCCCGTTTTCCTCCTCACTCCTTAAACCTTCTTCCTTTCTTCCATTCCCCTTCCTCACCTCTCCTCACACCCCTCTTACTTGATTCTCCTCAACTTTCTCCTCCTCTCCTCTCTCCCCCCCCCCCATCCCATAGTCTTCATTTTCTCCCTCTCCCTCTCCCCTCTCTACCTCCATCTTCATTTTCTCCCCCTCCCTCTCCCCTCTCTACCTCCACCTTCATTTTCTCCCTCTCCCTCTCCCCTCTCTACCTCTACCTTCATTTTCTCCCCCTCCCCCCCCTCTACCTCCATCTCCTCCCCCCTCCCTCTCCCCTCTTTACCTCCATCTTCATTTCCTCCCCCTCCCTCTCCCCTCTCTACCTCCACCTTCATTTTCTCCCCCTCTCCTCTCCCCTCCCTCCCTCCCTCCCTACTACGAACAAACTGATATTTCGGTTTATCACCACAACGGACCACTACCGCTCCGAGAATCAGTAGAAGCTCTTATCCTGCCGAAGGACCATGTCGATTCTCGCTCGGAAAGGTATGATGTGGTTTTATTGTCGTTATTACTGTTATTGTTATTATCATTATTATTATTATTATTATTATTATTGTTATTATTATTATCATTATCATTATTATCATTGTTATTATTATTATTATTATTATTATTATTATTATTGTTATTATTATTATTATTGTTGTTGCTGTTATTATTATTATTATTATCTGTATTATTATTATCATTATTATATTCTTATTGTTGTTGTTGTTGTTATTATTATTACAACTACTATTATTATCATCATTGTTATTAGTAGCAGTTGTAGTAGTATTACTAACATTACTATTATCATGAATATGGTCATTATAGTATTACCATCATTATATCATTGTTATTGTCCTTATTACTATTACTATTATGATGATGATGATAATTGTCCTTATTACCATCATCATTGTTATTATAATCATTATCACTATTATTATTACCATTACCATCTGTATCATTATAATCATCACCTTCATCATTATTATCATTTTCATTGTCATCCTTGCTAGAGTTTTTTTATTTAATAATCTGTCCATCTTTTTCCATCCGTTTGCTTATACATGTGTATTTTATTGAGTTGTTAATAACATTCATTCTTTATTTTCTTTTTTTTTCATTTATTAATGATTTGTGACACAGGAGGAATATCGAAACATTTTGCCAATTCATATTTCTTTTATACGTTCATTTCTTCATTGTAAGTAATTAAAGCATTTTTATCGCCTCATTTTCTTATATACTCGTTTCATCATACAATTAGTTATATGTTGTTACGAGATAAACACATACACACACACACACACACACACACACACACACATACACACACACACACACACACACACACACACACACACACACATACACACACATAAAAAAAAACAACTAAAAGGGCCAATAACAATTATCAAAACGTCAACAAATACAGGAAAAAATATAAAACAATAAAAAAACTCATAATAACAAAAACAAAAACACTGAACTTGCAATAACAACTAACAGAACAAAAACACAGAGAAAATATGTGACAATAACAAAAAAGAAAAACAAAACAAAAACACACAAAACAAAATAACACACCGACAATAGCGAACAACAACAAAAAATAAATAAAATAAATAAAAAACAATGACAGTAACAAAAAATAATAACAAACACAGCGCAACATACTCCGAGCACAGGATGCAACAAGCTTCGCCTCGTTCGGGTGCTACGTTGCAACCGAATTTCCTTGCATGATGCAACAAGGCTTCGGTGGCCATGGTAACCCTTTCACATAGAGGGGGGAGTGGGAGGGAAGGGGAGGAGGGAGGTAGGAGGGGACCCGGAGAGGGTGGAGGGGCTGGGAGGAAGAGGCGTGGCGGGGGGTGGGGGGGTGAGAAGGGGGATGGGTGAGGGGAAGGGAGGGGAGGGGGGGGAGTGAATATACGTCGCGGCCGCATTCTATATTTCTGCGATTAGTATTTGTATATAACAAAGTCTCTACAGCAGGCCGAAAGGATTAGAAATTAGATTAGAATTAGAATTAGAATAAGAAAAAAAAAAACATCGAGGTAGGCTATTCGTATATTCGTAAAAAAATTGCAATAACGTGTTTGACTCGTATCTGAAAGCAGACGTTGCAGCTTGGTTTCGTGGCGGTGGGGGAGGGTGGGGATAGGGGACGGGTGGGGTGGGGTGGGGTGGGGGGGAGTGGGGTGGGGTGGGGGGGGGAGAGGGAGCCAGGGTTGCTACAGCCAACTGCGGTCACCATGTCAAGGATTTGCGGTAAACTCTACGGGGTTTTATCGCCACCTTTCGAGTAATGTTTACAAGCCGATTTTTGTTTATTTGCCCGTTTCGAGGGGTTTGTTATGAAGTTACGCAATGTACTTCTCCTACGTTATTTTGAAGAAGAAAAAAATATTACACAAATATGGGATACTGTTTTGCTGGTTTATTCTCGAATGTAGGTCACTCACGATCTGGAGCACCAACATTAAATTGCGTAATACAACGCTCTTGCATCGACCTGTTTCTAGAAGTTATATATAAACTAGATATATTCATGATGCCCACATAATCAGAGCGATTTACCGACATTTCATTTCCGTAATTTAACCTATTCTAGGAGTCATTGTTTACAAACAATAATAGCTCGCGAGTCAGTATTCACACTTCCGATTTCACAGTGCTAGCAACGGAAATATTGATTTCTCAGCAACACGAGAAACGAGAAGAAGCAGGCAGTCCCAGTTGCACCATCTGACTGAAATACCAGTCGGATCCCGTGATGTTTATGCCACCTGACTGTCATCTCTCCAGTGCAAAACGCGTCCTTTAACTTACCAGAGACGACTAGCTAATCACGTTTCTTGTTCATCAGTGACACAATGAACAAAGCAAAGACCAGTCATATGAACACATAACTGACGCATTTGCACCAAGGGAGCCGAGATGCCAGTCAGGTGGCACTCGCATCACAGGACCTTCCCTCACCACGCGTTCCAAAGTGATGACGTCATAGAGCCGCAGAACCGCTTATCGAGGGACGTAAACATTACGCCCACGTGATAAAGTAGTGCGTACATTCTCCCGTCTGGTTACCTAAATCGGCTTTCTTTCTTTCTTCTTTTGAATTTTGGAGTATATATATCTCTCAAAATTATATCTGTAAACTTTTTGTCATGAAAGATGGCTTTAATTTGTTAAAAAACCGTTGTTCTCATTTACACGGCGCAGCGATACAGTGAAAGGTTGTAACTCGACTCAAAACATTCAG